AGCCCCGCTTGGAGCCGTTGCGCAGGGCTGGGCCTTCACTTGGCTTCGCCAACCGCTTTTGGCAGCGGCACAGGTGCTTTGGGGGCTCCTTGGCGTGTTTTGAGCGGGCTTGTGGCGCTGTAGGGCTCGTCAGGAGGGTAAGGGAGCAGGCAGAGGAGTGGAACTCCCTGTGCGGAGTGAGAAGACGTGGGGCCTTCTCAGGGCAGCTGGTGGGTGTGTTGTGGCCGTTTAAATAGAGAAAACAAAGCCCATACGTGAAGGTAAGCAAGGCTTCTGTGATGGAGCTTCTCTGCTGAGAAACAGAAGCTGTCCGGAAGCCGGCGAGGACAGATACAGAAGTGGAAGCCATCCAGGAGAGCCAAGGGAGCTTAGGGAAACACATTGCTCTGGCCTTTCCTGCTTTGTATTTTAATACTGCTGCCTGGCCCACCAGCATTAAAATCTCAGATTGTGAAAGAGAAGGAATCTGAAAGAACTACCCTTTAAAAGAGGGGAGGTGGAGGTGAGAATTGAGATAAACACAAAAATCAATGTTATCAGAAACCAGTTTTCAAATACGTGTGTTTAGTGGGCCAAGCAGTCTGGATCTCACAGCAGCACAAATCATTACCTTGCCGACAGATAAAGAGAGGAAACAAGCTGGAAAGCAGAATCAAAGCATTTTAATAAATAACTACCTTTGTTTACCTTTAAATAACTACGTGAAAGTTAGTAGTATTGCCTGACTTGTAAGAATAAAAGCATAAACTGTAATGTAGTGACTTGATTTATTTTTTTTTTTTAATCTAACTGCTATGTCAAAACCTAATCACTTCTGCACCATAGTATTACTCTGGAGTGAAATGCCTAATACCTGTGAGTTGCTGCTCTGCATGTAGGTGTTGTCCATCTAAGTCCTGTCCCTTGTGGCCAGCCTACTGGTTTTAAGACTATCCAAGGTAACCATGTTATGAATATTCCTTCTGCCATCTCAATCAGGTGTCAAACAACTGTTTATCTGCATGTGTATCCTGCCATGGTGGATCACCTTTCTCTGCCACTCTCATGTGGGTTGGTTGCAGTGGAAAAGCCTCCAAGTAAAAGCTCTGGGGAGGTGGAAGGGGAACTTTCTGCTAAGGGGGAAGGAAGAGAAGAGGATGTTTCCTGTGGATGCTGACTTTCTCAGACCCTGTGGCATTACTGCCAAGAGCAGACCTGCTGTAGTGGCTGTAGCCTGTAGAAAACACTGAGCTGTTCACTGTGTTTCAAAGCTCCTACCTGCTACCCGGGCTATTTATTGGCAGGTCACTGCAGCCCTGCAGGCTTGTGGTTGACCTTGTTGAGCTGCTTTTAATCAAGGTTGTCCAGCCTCCCATTTTCATGAAAGCACATGAGAAAAACCTGCCTATTTTTTTTTAGTCAACAAAATCTCTGCTTACTACTTTGAATGGAGCAGAGCCCCCTGCATGCTTTTAGTAATGTTCACCTCTGTGCTTGATAATTCTACACCCAAGTGTCATGTGCAGTCAAACATAAGTAAAGGTAATCCCAGAGTACTACCAGTTGTTGTTTCAGCAGATTTGGCTTATTGCCTGCTGAGCAATATATACTTGCAGCTTTCCAGAAAGTTTTGTTTTCTTAAAAGGGCACCATGTATTTTTCCTGACAGCTCTTGGTCAGTACTGGTGAACTATTCTCAGGCATCTTTGGTTATGACACTGTGCAAGAAAAATGCTCTTTTCTTGGTACTTGGAAATAAAGTAGTGGAAGAAGCAGGAAGTGTGTGTGATTTGTAATCCTATAGCTGCTCAGGAAGCATACTGTGTTAAATATATATGTGTGTGTGTATGCTGTGTTACATATATATATGTGTGTGTGTGCGCTTAGGTTTTTCCATCTCAGACCTTGCTAAGAATAAGGATTTACAGAGGTGGGTGTTTAATTGTCTTGCCTGTCTGGGAGTTGAGTGATCCTACCATAGCTGGGTGTTCTTCAAATAATCCATTCCTGACTGACAGGTTCCAGAACATGGTTGCCTTGGATTTTATCTCTATTAAAGCAGCTCTTTCTTTGTTCTGTGAAGACCTACAGTGACATCAGTAACTTAGTCTTAAAGTGTTGCTAATAAGCCAGACTTTGTATCAATGTATCAGCCCCACTAGTCCATATTGGTTTTGTCTAACATGGGCTGATGAATGTGAATGAACATTGAATATTCACAGAACTACTTGTATTTTATTATTTTTTTTTGTCATGCATGGCTTGTGCTAAAAGTTGGAGTTTCCTGACTGTAGTAGATTTACATATCTTGTCTCTAAGACAAAAAGAGTCTGTCAATCTGTTTTACTTCGGCTCTTCAGCCAGGGAGATGACAAGTGATGAAAGCCTACATGAAAGAGAGTGAATTATTAGAAGGATCAAAGGAATTTTTACTTCCTGACCCCAGAGTTTCTGCTCTTTTTTTTTTTTTTTTTTTTTTTTTTTTTTTTGAGAACTGCTGCAACCACAGCCTGCTTTGCAAAGGTGTCCTGCATTCTGTGAGCTAACTATCAGTCTGGTTATGGCACAGTCAGTTGGTCCGCTCACTGGGAGGTTAAGAGTGCATGCTGGCAAAAATGTTTGTTGGCAGGCATGTGTTCATATATACATTATTTTTCTGGCACAGCTGTCTCTGCTGGGGGTTTCTGTCAGCAGTTATCTTGGTAAAACATTAATATCTCCACATTTTATGCTGACATAATAGAAGTGGCAGAAATCTTTAGCAAACATCTGATCTGCAGGTGTTAGCCATGGAATAACTTGGGTTTGGGGAGCTGGGAGAGGAAAGCCCTTTTTCTGTCTTGCCTCTTTTGAGACCAGTCAGTCAATTTGTGCCTCCTTTTTGAGCACATTTTTTCAGGACATTTTGCAGCACTTTAGCTACTATTAGCCTCTTACTTTTTGAGGCAGGTCGTACGCATTATGCTGACTTCTGAAAAACCCTAAGAAATTATTCTATTGTTAAAAAGTATATTATCTTTCAAAGCAAACATTTTCCTTTCTAAAGCCTGCTATTACCTACTTGATTAAGTAGTTTGTAGTTCTCCAAGGTACAAAACTAATTACCTGTCACAATACCTGTGTCCAACCACCTGACAATCACTGTGTAGCTTGTTCCCAAAAGCCATTGTCTGTTCTGCTCATTTTTGTGGCTTTTGAATAAAAACACTGGGTAAAATTGTGCATTGCTGACAATATGAATTCTGTTAACTCTTCGCATGTTCTGTATTTATTGTCAACAGCTGAAAAGAATTTTGCCAGCATACTTGGCTCCTTGGAGGGCTTCTCCATGTGCCTTTAGGTCCTCCAAACCGGAACTTATGCCAAATCTGGTCAGTGATGGAGTTGTCTGTGCCCCACTTCAAACATACACCGAAGAGGAGACAATGCTGAAAAATATGGGTACATATTATCTATGTGTTTAACATTTAGAAATCTCTAATCAGAAAGGAAATTTTAGCTTAAAAGTTGATTTTCTTATTTTAGTTAAATGTTGCGATTGGTGTGGCGGCTTTTGCTTAATGTTAAAACTGCTTTAGTTCACAAGGGAAGAATGTAATGTTCTTTTTCCATGTTACCATAGCACAGTTCCACATACCACAGTGCAATTTGCTCTATATTAACTGTTTAAAACAGTTGCTGTCCTGGAAATCAAGCTGCCTGGCTTTGACTTGTGCCCTCTCTGAAGTGTTTAGTTCAGTTGCAGGTCACTGCTTCAGCTGCTTTTTAGACATTTGAAGTGTATCCAGAACAGGGACAGATGTCGTGTGTGTGTCTGCTGTGCAGCCAGGCCTGCACAGATTGTTTCAGAAGGATCCTCAGAGCAAAGAGTGGACTTGCACATCTGAGCCAGGGCTTATAAAAGGCTCCAATGAAATAGGAAGAGTCTTACAGGATTTTGTGCACTCAAAGTGACTCAGGCGTTAAAGCCTGAGACCAGCTTCCCAAACTGCAGGTTTAATTTATAAAGAAATGTGATACAGCTAACCAAGTAAGGATGTATTTGAAATATTTTCCATCGTTGTTTTGGTCAGCCAATGTTACGTAAGTGTTGCTGAGATGCTTTCAAAGTTCTGAATTTATAGGAAGTATTTGTTTCAGTTTAGAGAGTTGTAGCTCAGCTCAGAAAGCCATGATAATTGAGCCTCGTGGCACATCACCTTGTTTCACTCAGGCAATTTTTTGTCCTTGTATATAACTTGTCTGGGAAAGTCAGGTAGTACATGCATGACCTGTCAGAAGTACCACATTCCTGTTACATTGCTCTTCAAGGAGAGGTGTTTCACTTACACTCT